AGCCCGGCACAGCCCCCCCGGAGACAGCCAGGCCCCTCCAGCGGGTACGGGACAAGCCTGGCTTTTTGCTCCAATTTTTTGTGTTTTGTGTTTCTTGCCGGTGTGCGAGCCCTGCTCTGACCGTGTGCTCCCTCCCCACCCAGGAGGACCTGGCCGGGCTGCGGTGCCGCCTGCGGAGGGTGAAGGCGCTGGCCCAGCTGGCCCAGCTGCCGCCCGTCCCCGCCGGGGCCAGCCACAACCTGCGGAGCCGTCTGGAGCAAGCGCGGCAACTGGAGCTGCGGATCCGTGAGAAGAAAGCGGGAAGCGGAGCCACTCTGGGAGCGGGGCCATCCGGGGACACTGGGGTGGCAGCTCCTGCAGCAGAGGCCGGGTGAGGAGCGGCTTCGGGGATGCAGCCCCAGATTGGAGGGGAAATCGGGGTGTCCCGGTGACTGCTACAGCCCTCTTCTGCTGCTCAGCCCCGTAACAGTTTTGCAGGGGTCTTCCCACCCTCGTGAGGGGGGTGTGGGGGCTCTGCAGGAGCGCTGGAGTGGCCCTGCTGCATGCAAAGGGCTTCTCTGAAGTGCTCAAGCATGGTCCAGGCCACCCTGACTCTGCCATGAGCGTTGGGGCATCCACGTCCCCAGGATGGGTGATGTGACCCAGGTACTGGCACAGGTTGCTCAGAGAAGGGTTTGGGGACAGGGGTAGGAGGGGGGTCTCCCCTAACCGGGGCGGGCACGCAGCTCCTAGGCTCTGAGGTCAGCCCTGTCGGCAAGTGGGGCCTCCATCCTGGCCGGTCTTGGTCCCCGGCTGCACCCTCGGGGCTGTCCCAGCGCCGCGTTCACCATGCCTGGTGGCTGTTGTGTGCTGGGGAACCCTGACCCCTCTCCTTTCCCAGCAGTGAGAAGCCCCCCGCGTACCAGCGGTTCCACACCCTCGCGCAGGACCTGCCTCCGGGGCTCACGCTGCCCTACAAGTTCAAGGTGCTGGCGGAGATGTTCCGCAGCATGGACACCATTGCTGGGATGCTCTTCAACCGTGCCGAGACCATCACCTTCACGAAGGTCAAGCAGGGGGTGCAGGACATGATGCGCAAGTAAGTTGGCAGCAGTGGGCAGCCCATTTCAGGGTCCCAGCTGAAGCTGTCGGGGCCAGTGCCCTGGTGTCAGCCCTTGGGGTTCCTGACCTCTCCGGGTGCTGTTGCAGGCAGTTTGAGGAGCGGCACGTGGGGCAGATCAAGGCGGTATACCCCACCTCGTACAGGCTGCGCCAGGAGAAGAACATCCCCGCCTTCGGCAACGGCGTGAAGAAGTCTGACTACCAGCTCACGCTGGAGCCGGTGCTGGGGGAAGGTATGTACAACTCAGGGGGGGCCCCCAAGAGTTGGGGCGTGCTCGGTCCTGGCTGGGATCCCTGAATCCCCAGGGGTGCTCTCTGCTTGGTCCATTAGATAATCACCTGACGCATGGGGGCCTGAGTGTGTTGGAAGTGGGGGGAAAAAAACCACTTTTGGGGCAAGTGGGAGGATGATAGGGCAGCGATTCTGGCAGCGACTCAGCCCCACGGCGGGGCTCTGATCCTCTCCTTCCCGAGGCTCTTGAGGTTTGGGCCCCGTCGCGGCGTTGCCGCGCTTTGCCAAGATGCCACGGGTGATGCTCGTGTGTCTCCTGGCAGAGGAGAAAGTGGACGGTCGCCCGCACTTGTCGGCGTCGCGCTTGCTGGAACGCAGGAAGGAGTTCAACCGCAACCTGGTGAACATCGTCAAGCAGCACCACAAGGTGAGGGCCCCCCCCAGCACCCTCTGCTTTTGGGGTCTGGGGTTGCTCTGGTCACTCTCTAGAGAAGCGGGTGGAAGGAGCGGGCTGGCATCCAGGCTGAAGGACATCGCTGGTTCCTGTGGGATGCTCTTGGCAGGCAGGTGTGGGTGGGGAGGATGGCAGCCGGAATCTTTCCTGGGTCTGAATTGCCTCCAAGCCAGCTGCCGTGTGTTGCCAAGCCGTGCTGGCAATGGCCAGCTCCCCTGTACCTGGCCCGCAGGTGCCGTGACGCAGCTCTCCCCCGTCTCCAGGCATTCCTGGCCGCCCTCAGCCCTCCCATGGTGGTGCCGGAGGAGAAGCTGACCCGCTGGCATCCCCGCTTCAATGTGGACGAAGTGCCGGACATCAGCCCGGCAGAGCTGCCGCGGCCGCCCCAGGAGGACAGGCTCACCACGGCCCAGGAGGTGCTGAGCACGGCTCGGGGGATGCTGACCCCCAAGGTGAGTCAGGACCGGGGTCTGGCTCCGTCTGTGGCTGGCAGACCTCAAACCAGCCGTCTCTCTGGGAAGATGTTATCGGATAGGGGTCGGGAAGGATCGTTTCAGAGCCACAGGACCCAGAGCACTGTAAGATGTAGGCAGGTGGGAACGCAAGCCTGGCTGTTACCGCTGCAGGTTGTGGCGTAGGACTGATTTCAGGTTAGAGGAGCCGTCAGTACTGACTTTGGGGCTGGGAGAGGAGATGAAGCACCTCAAACTGTCCTCTGCGCAGGCAGGGATGGGTCGGACGCGCTGGGGTGGGAGCACTGGGCTGCAGGGTGTGTTCTCCTTCCTCCAGTGCAAGCGGCTCCCAGCTGTAACCCAACTCCTCCTCCCTCTTCCACATGAGCAGATGGAAAAAGCTCTTGCCAACCTGGCCTTAAGAACCGCTGAAGCCGGTGCGGGGGAACCGGTGGCTTCCAAAGTACCGTCCCCTGCCAGCACCTCCAGTGCTCTGAAAGGGGTGTCCCAGGCCCTGCTCGAGAGGGTGAGTAATTCGGTCCTGGCCGTAATGCCGGTGCCGGGGGGGGGACGGACCTGCCTGTGTCTCACCCCATCTTCTTTGCTCCCCAAGATCCGGGCGAAGGAGGCGCAGAAGCTGCAGGCGCTGATGACGCGGGAACCGCAGCAGGAGGAGCGGCTCCCCCCGCGCGGGCGGCCGCCCCCCCCCGCCCCCCCCCCCCCCCCCCCCAACGTCTTCGTGGCCGAGAAGAAGCAGGCGCTGACCATGGAGGTGGCTTGTGCCCGCATGGCCGACAGCTCCGACGTGCAGATGCCTCCCGGTAGGAAAGCTGGGGGGGGGGGGTCCTCGCCGGCACGGGAGCGTCTTTGCAGGAGGAAGGGGCTGGGGAGCTGAGCTCTGACCCGGCGGCTGCTGCTCCTTTTCACAGGCGAGATGGAAAAACACTTGCGCCTCTTCGCAGAGCTGCTGCCCGACTGGGTGGGGATCCACGCCGTCAGGACGGACACCTACATCAAACTGGACAAAGGGAAGGACCTCGGCCTCGTCACGGAGAGGCTCACCAGGGCGGCAAAGGAGGCAGAAGCCCTCTGAGCCCCCCCAAGGGTCGAGGATTCCCCAGTGCAATCTCCTTTAAATGTAGCAAATCCTGACTGCGCTCCGGGATCTGGTGTGGGCTGACGGGAGGCTCATCCTCGGGGATGTCTGAGGAAGAGCAAAACGCCTTCATTTAACCGTTTCCTCTGCCAGGGTCCATGAGGACTGTAGCTGCCCTAACCCTCGAGCTGAAGGCAGGTGGTCTCTGGGTCCTGGGGAGACGATGCAAGCGGTGAAGAGGAGCTAGTAACCTCTTCTTGGCTTTGCTGTGTTCTCCTGAAGGTTTGATGCAGGAGGTTTCTTCCATTAACTGGGCCCTGGTGGGGTGGATGCAGGACTGGGCAGGGTGAGAGGGTGACAGGCAGGAAGGACTGAGAGAAGAAGTCACAAATCGATGTTTTTGGAGCTCTGGGCCTCGTTCTGTTTTTAAGGGAGGGAAAAGCATCTCCAGCGCTTGCTGGAAACTACTACAGGACTTGTCAAAACATAACTTGTATTAAATGTTTTAAATATAGCTGATTTGTGTTAACCCAGCGCTCTTCCTCCGTGAGCTGCCTGTCTGTGCGCCGCGTTAGCACCGCGGTTCACCATGGCAATTGGCGCCAGCCGGCACACGCAGGGAAGGGCTGGGTCGTCATCCAGCTCCTGGAGAAAGACTTACTGGAAAAAGTGAGCGTGGGTTTGCAGGGAACTGAATGCAGCTTTTGTAAATAGGGACTGTGGAGCAGCTCCCGTGGGGACAGGAGCAGGCAGGGCCGGGGGTGGGCGCAGGCGGGCTTTTTCCCAGGGGAAAGCCTGGGTCACTCAGCTGAAGTGGCTTGGGAAGGAGGGACAAAGAGGGTGCTGACTGCTGCAGAGGTGCTGGCCTGGCCCAGCGCCCGGGTCAGGTCAGCGCTTGCTGCAGGAGGGGCAGCGTGGGCGCAGGGGAGGAGGTGGGAGCTGCCCCCCCGCCCAGTGCCACGTCGGGCATGCCTCGCACCCCTTCCTGAGCCAAACTCGGCTGGTTTTAGCATGGGGCATCAAGGATTGGCACAGAAAGGTGACTGTCCTTCATCCCTCTGGGTGGGGGACCACACTGGTCCAGGGAAGCTTCCCCACCTGATGGACCAGACTCCGAGGCTGGATCTCGGTGATCCCCGTAGAGCTGCTGAGGGAGCAGGCAGGCCCTCCTCCTCCTCCTCTTCGTCCTCCAGGACCCTGCTTGCTGTCGTGCAGGCCAGTTGGCCGGCACTGCTGGCAGGAGGTAGCCCTGTTTCCAGGGAGGAGGGTTTAAACCCAGCCCGGAGGCTGGAGGGACGCGCAGGACTGGGCTATCGGCTGTGCTGAACGGACCTCACGGCAGTAGAGAGGAGCTGGTTTCCACAGCCTGGCAGGCACGCGCGTGCCCCAGGGGAGCTTGCAGCAAGCTCCCGTTACGCTGCCTGGGACAAAAAAACCCTTCCTCCTGCCTGGAAACCACCCCTGCACAGCCTTGGTCTCTACGAGCAAATTACATCAGTGGTCGCTCACAGCCCGGCCAACGTGAAGGCACCGTCGCCGGGTTCCCTGATGTCAGCCCTTGGCCCCGCGCGCAGCCAGCTCTGGCACTGGCAGGGCTTACGCTCGCTGCCACAGCG